CGGACTGACTTCGCTCACGTACCTATAATGTTTTGTTGCTAGGCTTTCGCTACCATTTCCATCCCATCCTTTCTTTGATCGCTTAGATATATTGCTCAATAGTTTCGCTGTCTCACCAATAGGCCTCATTTTCTTCGTGACTTGGGTTTGGCATGCTGGAACTTCATTCGGGGGCTGTGGGGATCTGCTACGGGGTATATAGATAGTAACTTTTTCTTTATCAGCCATCTTCCAGTTAATGTGTATCGAGTATTTAGAAAGCTCTCCCTAGTTCTGTCCTCATGAAAATAAAATAAACCTTTTAAGGCATTACATGTGTATACGTTGATTTGGACTGATCGGATGGAAAGGATCGCAATTTCAAGTCCGCTGCCTGGGGGTATTTTCGAAGTTATCACTTCTATGAGGGCTTCTTGCTTTCCTTCTCGAGGTGATCAATTTTCCCCTTAGAAATTATAGTACTTAGCTGTCAGCGTACGTGTAGCTGGAAACCTTCTCGGCCTTGGCTTCTAGCTAGTCGGCTTGTTTCCTTCCTCTTATTCATTAAAGACCCGAGCTCGCGGTGTGGCATGCTTGGGATCGAGGCTGACCGGAATGACACTCACCTGAAAAAGATCGATGAGTGGCTCCCACCGCGCCTGAATACCCGCTACCGGCGCTGGGATAGCACTGCTACTTGCATATGGTATAGATATTGTGTTACCTTCGTTGTTTCTTGTAGTACATGAGCCCTTCATTAAAGAGTTATGTCTTCGCCGCCACGTTAGTCTCTCAGACGTTGTCCTCCATCCTGGAATAGAAGCATGCTAATTAAGATGATGAAACCAGCTCCATGAGATCTCAACGTTAGAAAATACTTATTTACTGGCTAAGTGGTTTTTCATGCCGAAGAACGTTTTGTTCAAAGTAGGTTATCCCGGCGTCAGATGCGTCGATATCACCCCCGGGAATGCCTCTCCGCTGCCTCAGCTGGTTGAATTTATCGTTCAAGAGACACGATTGTTAACATTTATCTAAGCCACTCGGTTCCCTGAGGAATGGACAACAATCTGGCCATATTGTAGAGAATCCTGGCAGGCATATAGGAAGTAGCAGAATAGCAGGGTATCGCTCAGTGTAATTAACATGTAGGGAGTATCACGTACCCCGAATACGCATATGGCGGAGAATTCATTGTAAGTGCCTAAGATAGCTTTTCATAAAATAATAGAATAAGGGATGTTAGTTATAGCCTAAGGTTTTTGAATAAAGCTGCCTACTCACCTACTCATCCCATGCAAAATTCTCCTCAAATTCACTTTCTGAGGCACACGTAAGACAAGTACCATGTGTTAGATACCTCCTATTATAAAGGTATTATCCATATTTTCTTAATAAAGAACGAGTTGAAACTCCTAAGCCTGATCGCTAACTAAACCTAAATACGCCATGTTTTATTCGTTGCGTTTTGCTTCAAGAAAAAAATTTTTTTTTTAAAAAAAAAAGTATCATACGGAATATACCCTTACAAAAAAGAAAAGATTATGTAGATAACTAGTTTAGTTATTTAACATTTTCTTCCTGCTTTGACACTTTTTCGGTGTAACTAGATTTATCATACCTGTTCTCATCTTAGTTCCGTAGGGTTACATTTGGAGGCGTTACAATATGCTGTCCTATTGGTATACGATGACAAGGCAGATTTATGAAAAAGGAAGAGTGGCAATGTTATGCTTATAATATAATCACCCGGAATCCACACTCAGAGCGCATGCAGCTAATCAAGAGACGCCAACGCAGATTACCTTGGGCTCACAGGTAGTTGATTGGTCTGTGCATTGCAGCCTCACGTAAGTAAGCCAGCGTTTGATTTATTGAGGCTTAGAGGCCTCCGGTAGCTAAGCCTACCTTGATTACTTCATTATGTGAATTCTATCGTCTAAAATGCGACCAACTCTCCCAAGCGTCTCATAGGGTAATGATGGAGATACCACAGGAAGAAGTGGTAGTTGGCCAAGGGGGTATTCCGGACGTTGACCCTAATGTGCCGGTATCTCCGAATCCGTCATCAGATACGAATCGACAGAGGTAAGCCTTAAAAGATATTATGAGTAATTACTGTATCCAAATAGGTACTGCTATGATAATATTGAGAGTACTTAGCTGACGACTAAATAGATGTAGGTTTAGGCGAGATCTCTGGGAAGCGGCTCTCCAGAAACTTGAACAATCCAATCGAAAACTGGCGTCAAGTTTTCGGGATGATATCAAAACGAGGCCAGAAGATGCTGAGATCATCAGTCTAGTGCTTAAGCAAGCAACTGAGCTGTATAATGAGTACCGGAAAAAGTTGTTGGAACATAGTGAAGGAACCTCGAAGAAAAGATACGTAGGATGGAATAAGATCCATAAAACGATAAACTCTATAATGCAGTTAAAAGGGCTCTTGGATGCTGGCTTGAAACTTGACCCTTCTGGATACGGTAATTCCCGTCAGTGTACTTGCGCTGTTTAATACCTGCTAACTCTAGCTATACAGGAGCAATTGCTTGGGCAGCTACTTCATTTTGGTTTCAGGTAAAGTCTTAACCTAGGTATTCAGACAGTTTATTAGACGGTGTGCTAACATCTTCATAGATGGCTATCAACTATAAAGACAAAGCTGGCTCAGTCCTTGATGGGGCTGAGTATTTAACCCACCTACTTGCACGTTATGCTCTAATCGAGATTCGATTTATTACGACATCTTCTAGCGTCTTAGACGAACTTGAAGCATGTGTAGTTGGCGTATACGAATCAATAATAGAGTATTTAGCAGAAATGAGAAATTTTCAAAGCCAAACGAAACTAGGTATTCCCATTGGGCCCCCCCTATAACCTATTTTGGAATAAATCCCAGCATATATCTTACAATCGGCTTAGGCATTATCTTCAAAAGCATCACACCTTTGTCTGATAGCGCATTGAAGAAGCTCAAAGATTCTGTTTATAGTAAGGACCAAGAGGTGGATAGATGGACGACATTAATAGAGAATGAATGTAGGAATATGGATGTATACTGTGTTATAACTGTGCTTATAGTATTATAGGTCATACATCCCAGATCAAGGAGCTCAAAGCAAGAGCGGAAGCTCTAACTTTGCCGATATATCAGATAAACCAGAAAATGTTATATACTGATGAATATGTTCGAAGTAAGTCAGAAATTCCAGTGCAGGAGAGTGCTTACTTTCCGAATAGGACAAAATAAACGGGACGTTTTGGACTGGATTTCAACTACGAACCCTAGCTTCCATCATAAATTAGCCCGCGATAAGGCGGTCGGACCCGAGAGACAAGCACCTGGGACGTGGATTTTAGATGAACCAGAATATAGATACTGGCAGACCGCAATAATCCCTTCAGTTTTGTGGCTCTCCGGAGACCGTAAGTGTTTCAACAGCCTCACGTCAATCACAATATATCTAAGCTAACCTAGGCTCAGTCGGAACGGGAAAAACCATTCTGATGTAAAGACTTGATCCTATCCTTTAAGGTGGCTATACTTGTATGCTAACTATTTTAGATCAACTATGATCGAGCATATCAAAACTCTTTACGGTAAACAGAACCAAGGCACACTGGCTTACTTTTATTGTTCAGGAACACTAGGAACGAACGTTGATTCTATCCTTCGAAGCATCCTAAGACAGCTATCAGAGAGCAAAAAGGGACTGGATATGGTGGTAGAACAATGGACAGCAAAATTATGTGGTAAATATTTGCTCACATTGGATGAAGCTAAAAGGATGATAAAGACTCTTGTCAGCCTTAACGGCAAGACCCAAACGACTATTATCATTGATGCTCTCGATGAGATAAGCCTAAAGGACTTATCTACTCTATTCGATTTCTTGAATGATCTTCTTCGTATGGATACGACCAACTGCCTGTTAAAGGTTCTCCTGTCGAGCCGACCAGAAATGCGAGTCAGTGATGCACTTGACCTTTGGCCCAGAATTAAAGTCAATCCCTTGAAGACAAAAGATGACATGTCGCTCTACATCAGCACTGAAGTAGAGAGCCGTCTCAGATACAACTCTAAAGTACACACGATAAAAGAGAAGATTAAAACGACTCTCATGGAAAAAGCTCACGGAATGTCAGTATCTCCACTCTCAGTATGAAACGAATAATTGACCTTATACTTATTCAATAGGTTCGCTTACATTGAATTCGCCATTGACTATGTCTGCAACTCACTCGACGGCGGTATGGAGACGGCCCTAGATGAACTTCCTAGAGGTTTGGAAGACATGTATAATGCTCTTTTTGAAAAAGTGAAGAGCGATCGATATGCAGAACTTGCAAGGCGTGTTATTCTATGGTTATCCGAGGCAAAGACGCCTCTCCCATCCAAAAGCCTAATCGCTGCAGTCTGTGTCAAGTCGAAAGTAAACCCAACTACTCTTACCCCGGAAGAGATTATTCGGGTATGCCATCATCTGGTAATTTTCAACAAGAAGTGCGATCACTTCGATTTCAGGCATTTTTCGGTTCTGGAATTTATTAAAAAAGACAAACTGAACAATTATAAATCAGTAGATGCGCATGCATTACTTGCTGAGACATGTCTCAGTGTTCTCTTCCAGACCAACGTTAGACAAATGCTGAGAAGCAACGAATTCGAACTGGAGCCAAATTCACTGGCAGGTTACGCAATAATTTACTGGGCCTTTCATTGCCAAAATTGCGATTCAGTGAGAAGAGACAACAAGGGTACCCTGAAAGCGTTATTTTCCTCTTTTATAGGGGAAGGTCGCGCCACCGCTGCATTCAAGGATTGGAGACGAGTATTTTCCCGACCTCAGAAAATCGGAAGGCGTAATTATAGACATTGGTACCGTTTAACACAAGCGGACTTCACGAGTCAAATATTATGGCAAGAGAAACAAACTTCAGTAAGCCCTTTTAGTGTGGCTTGCCTATTTGACCTCTGGGAAGTTATTGAAGCATCAACTATTGACGATGAACGGTTGTCGATGGGTATCATATTAGCATCAAGATACGGGCATATAAGAGTAGTCAAACTATTACTAGAAGAGGAGTCAAGACGTGATTTTCTTCTTAATGTCGGATCTCCATCTTATTGGTTCCGGACACCGTTAACGGAGGCGGCAGCAAGGGGTCATAAGGAGGTTGTCTCGCTGCTTCTCGAATTCGGTGCTGATTTGAACCTGACCAATTACGCAGGACGATCAGCGCTCCATGGGGCGACGCATGGCGGACATAAGCTAACGGTTGAAGAATTACTCGACCAGGGAGCTAATATAGATATCCAAGACATGCATGGAAAGACCCCTCTAGGAGAAGCAATCGCTAAAGGATACGAGTCAATTGCACAATTACTTTTGGATTGCGGTGCTGATCCTAACGCTCACTGTAGCAATCAAATGGAATATCCATTGCATATAGCTGCTAAAGGGAGCACAGAGGAGATGATTAAGGCACTCTTGGCCAAAGGGGCACTTCGAGATAAACGTAATATATGGGAGGAGACGCCCATTCATTCAGCTGCAAGACAGGGAGATGCGTCTAGGATGAAGCTGTTTCTTGAAAATAACCCTACATGGAATATTGAAGAGGATGTCAACTTTACAGTCTTACACAAGGCTGCAGAGTGTGGACATGCCCGAGTAGTAGAACTACTCTTAGAAGAAGGGTTAGATGCTAACGTTCAAGATAACGAAGGGAAAACAGCTTTACACTTAGCAGCGACTAGGCATGAATCTGTTATCCGGATCCTACTAGAGAGAAATGCTGATCCAAATATCCAAGATCATTACGAGAGAACACCGTTGCATATATCGATCAGAGGAATCAAGTGCCAAGATATCCCACCCCAATATCCTTCGCCGGAATTGATCACATCAGTGATAAAGCTGCTTCTTAGCTGTGGAGCTGATCCTCAACTCAAGGATAAGGACGGTAGGACAGCACTACATTACGCCATAGCCCATGGGCTAAGAGTCGTGCTATTTATGGGCGCAGGGGCTAATGTAAACTCGCCTGATAATAACGGATTGACACCCCTACACTATGCAACATTCTTTGCAATGGAGGAAGATGTGCATATGCTCCTAGATAAAGGAGCTAACATAGAAGCTCAAGACTTCGACGGAAGGACACCATTACATTTTCTGCTTGTGATACTTACGCATCAAGGGAATGGCCAAGATGACATTTGGAGCCTATCAGAAACACGACCTAAAGAAAATTTAGAGCGAAAGGAGGGAATAATTCGACTACTGGTAACACGAGGGGCAGATGTTAGAACGAAAGATCATAGAGGAAGAACACCTTTACATACCGTAGCCTCTCTAGGATATCTAGCAGTGGCGCAGCTTCTCATGGAGAACGACGCCAATATCACAGCGAGAGATTACCGCGGGAAGACAGCCTTACACGAAGCTACCTCATCTGGTAAAGATAAAATGGTGCGGTACCTTGTGGAAAAGGGGGCCGATGTAACAGCACAGGATCAAAACAGAGAAACTCCTCTACACCTAATATGTGGCCAAGGTAACATAGGAATTGTTGAGTTATTATTAGCAAATGGAGCTAGTATCGACTCGAGGGATGATCAAGGTCGAACTGCGCTACTTAGAGCAGCAGAGAATTATCATCATGCTGTGGTACGTCTACTGGTAAAGAAAGGGGCGAACGCTGCAATAGCCGACAAGCGCGGGAAGACAGCGTTAAACTATATGGCTTCCAAAAGAGACCGGGTCACCGTGGAGTTTCTGATAGAAAATGGCGCCGACGTTAATGCAAGAGACAATCTTGGAAGGACTGCATTACTGGAAGCTCTAGGGATTGAATCCGCTGCGTGGAAACATACTACATGGGGACACCCTACGCCATGCGAAGAAACTAAGAAGGGAGTTGAAGCTTTAGTCCAACTACTCATTGAAAAAGACGCCGACGCCTCTGCAAAAGATAAGCATGGAACAGCTGTATTGCACATGGCGGCGCAGCATGGACTTGATGGTATAATGCGGTCGTTGCTCAACAGGAAAGCCAGCGTGATAATTGGTGACATGGACAATACGAAGACCATGAACAACTCGTGTGGCCCATGGCAAAGCTGTGATGAAGCCATATGGGGAAAGGGCCTTTTAGATATACAAGATAAGACCGGACACACAGCTTTGCATCTGGCATCAGTAGCACCCTCTGAAGAAGTCGTACAGTTACTTTTAGAAAGAGGAGCAATGCCCAATATTCAAAATGATTATGGGCAGACAGCATTACACTTGGGAGTAGAGGTCCAGTCTCTTGGTGTAACGGAATTACTTATTAGACACGGGGTTCATGTTCATATCCCCGACGAAGGTGGAAAGACAGCAATACACGTGGCTGGAACATATCTCGACGGGAGAACGAATGCCGCTAAAATGGAAATGGTGCTAAGATTGCTGCTGGAAAATAAATCAGATGCTAACTCCGTGGATAACGAAGGAAGAACGGCCCTCCACGAGGTAATCAAGGGACATCAAGGAATACTGATTAAATCTGCACAAGTGTTATTAGAGAATGGCGCTGATCCTAATATTCAGGATAACACAGGAAAAACGCCTCTTCACGAAGCCGCAAGTGTGCCTTCTCGCAGACAGAGGGAGTACGAAACACTCATTGACGTATTTTTGAGACACGGGAGCGACCTAGATATTCAAGATAAAAATGGTGGAACACCATTACACATCGCCTCGATGAAACAAGACACGGAATTGGTACAGGTTCTTTTGAAGAAGGGGTCAGATCCAAACATCCGAGATAGAGATGGTAGAACACTACTACACATGGTCTCCGCGGAAAGGGGTATCGAATTAGCGAGAGCTGCTTTAGAAAAAGGGGGAAATCCGAATATTCAAGATAACAACGGTAGGACGCCGCTACATATCGCTCTCACGAAATCCAACAGGAGATTGGCTAGGATTCTCTTGGAGAATGGGGCTAACCCTAACATTGTAGATAAGGAGGAGTCAAGCTTGTAGGGGATATCGTGAAGTCATCGGCGCGCTTTCGTATTTTAGCTAGAAACTATATATGTAGAATTATGAAATACTCTGCTGTATTAATTTTTAGAAACTTAATATTAACATATAACTACATGTACCAATAAAATCGTAATTGTCAAATATGAGTACACCGGTATTATGTATAAGGCTGATGACTAATTCGGGCAACACACGATATGCGGGGATCGGGACACGCTAAAATTAACTTTCGGGACCGGGATAGGCTAGGCTACCTTCCTCAGTTAAGCTTTGAGCTCCGCGTCCTTCTTTCCATCCGGAATTATCATCCGTTATTGATTCAATTTCCACTTGCTATATTGACTTGGCTACTTGTACTTTCGACATAATAAGCCCCAAAAGATACCAAAGAGTTATAGCAAGTACTTCAGTTATATTAGGTAAGTACATACCTTCTACAAGCATACTCTTCAAAGTCTCACGTTATTGGGAATACTGAACGTCCACACTTAGTATCTAATATAACGAACGACATAACAGAAAAAAAAAAGCGAAGAAACATCAGAATAGGAACGTCACTTATTTAAACATATCAGACGAAAAGGAAATAAGCCATGGATGCCCGCTGTCAATGCGGTGCCGTCGCGTTTAAAACGCCCCTGCTTAAGCCCTTGGCTCTCTACATTTGCCACTGTGCCGAATGTCGCCGTCAAACGAGCTCTGCCTTTGGCACCTCCGCCATATTCCCCCGTTTCCCTCTACCTCGCGCTGAACTGATGTCGTGCTATACGTGAGTATTTTATTCATTTATTTTTTTCTGAGTATCTATGTTACGATATAGTTATAATATGTACCTATACATATATCTGGTTTGAGGTATGACTCACTGATTCGCTGGTGGTGATATAGCCGTCCGACACCTTCTGGTCACACGCTTTATTGGTAATTACTATGCCTCTCCCTCGGCTTATAATGCCGACGATCAGTAAATTTACTTATTTCCATTAGTTATTTTTGCCGCAACTGCGGGACTAGACTGCTTCACACGACACCGGTAAGTGTATATATATTATTGGTGACATATGTAATATATACGCTAATGATATGTAGGGTAAGAATGTTGTCTCCGTCAAAGGAGGAGTAAGTATACATCTGCAATCTCTCTACTCTTTTTATTATTCGACGCATAAAGCAGATGGTCGCCAATATATCCCCCCAATACGTGATCAGGTATCTTATTTAACTCTAACAGGGATAATCACTAACTTCTCACACTCCTAAAGTGTATAGATGGGCTCGACTGGTCGAGAGCTATCCACATATGGACCAAATCAGCCATGGTACCTATACCTGAGGGCTCCGAAACATATTCGGAAGAGCCTACGGAGTCCGATTACTGCGCTTCTCAAGAATCTCTTGACCAACCCTTTGATCCGGCGGGTATACTCGTGAATAGCGGGGCGGCCCCAACGGCGGCTGATATAGCGGGAGGAGCTGTTCATATAGGGCCTGTGAAGGGCGCCTGCGAGTTGAGTGGATCATAGACGATGTTGGAAGTTTTGATGAGCGGCGTTGGCGCTCGTGCCTGGTGGGTTGACCGATGGTAGCTGGCGGCGTAGCGATGGCAAATTTAAATCCGGAAATCTATCTACGTACAAGATACCCTCGCTTCACTCAAGTTTTATCTTTTAAGGGCTATCCAATCCGGCGAAGGTCAATAGGGAGATTCTCATGCCGCCCTTCATTCGCTGCTTTGCCTATTTTCGGTGATCTCCGAGTGTTTGGCCGGATCGAATACGTACATAGGAAACTCAAGGAACACCGTTCTCTTTACGATAGTAGGGAGCCGTTCATATATCTGTGGCGGGAACGGGATAAGGATGCTAGTACGGTTCAAATACCGCTGATAGCCTTCCCAATTCAAACCCTTCTCGTACCGCTTCTTAGCGCCCGGGCGCTCGGACAACGGCAACCCCGAGACGAACATGAGCAGGATAGTGAGGAAGAAGGGACCCAAGATTGTAGCGTAAAGCGCATTGAATGCTTGTCCGGCGACGGGGTCATCAGCAGCAGGCGAGACGCATATCATATATATAGCTTTTATCGTCAATTTAAGCCCTCATCAATATCAATTATCCATGTGAAAACTTACAGAACTGAATAATGATTTCCCCAAAATAATTCGGATGACGACTCCAGTAGAAGAACCCCGAGTCGCAAATGGCGCCCCGATCATTCCTTGACCGAAACACAAATTTCTGCACATCGCTCACGCTCTCCATAGCAAAGCCGATAGCAAATAAAACCACACCTGCTATATCCCGACCCGTACCGAAGGAAACCTGCGGCTGATAACCACGAACGGCGGGGGAGTTTAAGATAGTAACGGGCAGCGAGACGGCCCACACCCAAAGCATCTGAAAGACCCAAAAGCCAAGGAACGGAAAGAACCGATCGCGCGTGCCATCGAAGCGATCGTCTTTGCCTGTCCGTAGTACGCGGTACAGCAAGAAAAGCGAGAGCCGCAATCCCCACGCCATAATAAACACCGAGGCGACGATCTGTCGCGCATCAGGATTGCGGCTCAGAGCTAGCGTGAGCACGGCCAGGACCACAAAGTTGGTACCACCGGCGAAGTCTGTAATTTTATGAGAAGATGATCTTTGATTAGAACTCAGCAGGGAAGAAAGGAAATAGGGATACAACCTGTAAGTTTGTCAAACTTGAAGCTGTACGCTATCGCGAAGAAGAACAGCTGAAACGCGACGGTGACGAGGAGCGTGATGGAGAGGTAGTAGTCGTCGAGGACGTGTATAGGACCCGCCATCCTTTCGTGTTCCTTAGATCTATAACGAGCGGTAGAAATTATACTTGAAACCAATTAATTATACTTGGAACTAGTTGTATATCTCTAAGATATAATAGACAAGCCAAGTTGTTATTCTATTTTCATACTATTAATCAGTTAACGTTGATGGAAAATTAAGTATGGTCGAGTATCAAACGCAGAAGACCAGTAGCAATCGCCAGATTAAGCGCTAAAGGGCTAATGTTCCTTGCAAGTCGGGTTGCCAAAGTGCCGACTGCTTCAGCCCTACGACGTCATGACCTTGTGCTTTATAGGAGACTAGAATAATTCAACAATACTAATTTAAACCCCGAAATGAATATGGCAACGATATATATTAGACGTCGCATGAGTCATTCGAGTAAGCAGGATCTAACAATAAAACGAAGAACATCTACATCGAGTCTTGGAACTTCATCTCCTTCTCCCTTCCACCGATTAAGTAAACGTACACTCATCAACCTCACTCCGTAGCATCTAATTAAACATGAGCATAACCAGAATTCATTACTTATTGAACATGAGACATGAAACCTCGGACCCTTATCGAAATGAAAACTATCAGATACAAGGGACCAAGAGACTCCCGAACCCCGCAGCCAGCCAACCGACCGAATAATCATGTTTGTATGAGAATTGGACCTAAAAACGCCAGTCTCGACCGAAACCTTCCACGAGACACGAGACACGAGACGGACAAAGACGCATAACGTGCAATCTGCTCAGCAAGGTCATCTGCAACTGTACGCCCGAGGCGCCCCGACGCCTAATCTTATTTAATCAAATACCTTCACGGATAGAACAATCAACTTATCGCCATGACAGAGCTCCCCTCTCCCTCCTCGCACCGCCTCCAGCCGCCATGCCCGCGCCACCAATAGTAATGCGTCGCCCGCGGTTGCTGGCAGCCTCCAACCTCCTGTCGCTCGGGCTGGTCAGTGCGCTCGTACCCCTTACGTTGTTGCTTATATTCATCCGTCTGGCCTGGCCCGGTGTGAACGCTTTCGACTCGCGGGTTCCCATGTCCGGCGGTGAGCAGCTGATGGGAGGGCTCCTATATCTTTCCGCGCTGCCGCGTCGTAACCGCGATATACCGTTCGTGCTCGACGCTAAAGGGGGGCCTGCGTAGCTGCTGCTGGTCTTATGGTAGTTGCCGCCGATAGATCCGATCGAGGACACTCGCCTAGAGACCACAGCCGGACCCGTCACGCTTCCTGCTAGAGAAGAGAGCCGCTTTGGTCTCTTGTTGGCGTGGATTGCCGAGCGAAGCTTAGACGTGTCAATGATGGCCGAAGTCTCCGAGTCGGATGATGGAGGGTGATTTTCGTCTGACGACATACTTTGAGGCACTGGTATGGATGATTTTGGACTTGACGATAACCGTATCTTAGGGGAGTTGATATTACCAGCTCGCGATACGTCAAGGTTACGCAATGGGCTAATCCGGCCCTCGCTGCCGGGTGAGGACGTAAGGTTTATAGAGATCGTAGGTCCGGTGGGCGAGCCGTTAATTTCCGACGTACGAGATTTCGACAAAAATCCTGCCTGGAACCTATTAGGCTTCGCAACCGGAAGGCTTGTCGTCTCGGGGATCGTCAGCTCGGTACTGGAATCATCTGCAGTGTCATCTTTGTGTAAGTAAAACGGTATAGGGGGGATCGCAGGTACAGCCTTCTCGGGTGAGCTACGCTCCGGCGAAGAGTAGAACTTCTGGGGTGTCTTTTCGAAGTCGGCTAGGGTGCCCGATTCGCCGTCGTCGTCACGCCATCGTACCGCACGCTTCGAGGTCTTCTTGACCGGAGTAAACGAGACGCCTTTACGCGCGTTAAGCGCTTTACGACGTCGGGGGGAACCCTTGACCGGAGAACCGAACATTTGTGGCTGGGAGGCTACGACAGCTGCTAATGCTGGGTTAGGTATTGGCTTCATCGCGTCTTTTCCCATGCTTATCCTCGTCGTCTTCTTCCGCTTCGGAGTCCCGCGCTTCGTTGGCGGAAATGCCTCTACCGGCATCTTGGCCCCGTCCGGTTTAACTACTTGCGATGCGGCCGCGTATCCTGTCTCTAGTAAACGGGTGATGATACTTTTAGCATGTGTAACAGCCTCATCCTCGCTCATATCTATCGTCTCTGATAGCGAAGCGAGGATTTCAAACTGCGCGGTAAGAAGGACTTGCATAATCCCCGAGTCGCCGGCTTTATCCTGATCGAGAACCTCGCGGTCGGCTTCGCGCGCAAATTTGGCTTTCCATAGTTCAGCTTCTCTAGTGAGGCTTTCGATCTCGCCGTTGTCCACATGTACGTCTCCCTTTGGTAGCTGGTTGATACTATGCTGGAGAGCTCCGTCGATAGCGCGCTCCCAATTCATCCTGTTCAACTTCTGATGAATATGTTGCCGGCTGTTCTCGAGTTCCAACTGAATTCCTACCGCCGTTTTGCGCATAGCAGTAAGGTTTGACGGCATCGTATCCTCGTCCTCTCTCATATCACAAACCGCGTCGAATGCGGCGATCCACGACGACAAAAGACCGATGCGACGCTCGACTCCTCTCTGCTTCTTCATTAGGTTTACCTTCTCTTGCCTCTCAGTCGACGAGTTCTCGTATGCTGCCTGGATCCTCTGAACTCCTTCCTTGACCGACCAGTTCCTCTTCTCTAGTTGCTTCTGGAACTTGACAAAAAATGTTTTCTCGGCATCTTTTTGCTGGGCTTTGAGCTCGTTGATCAAGGCCATCTGCTCGTCGATTTTCACTAGGAAGTCCTTGACGTGTCGGTTGACATTGAAAACGTTTCGTGTCACCTTGGTTTGGATATTTTTTGCCCTGTTGGCATACCGTAGCGTATTCTGGGTTTCGTCGAAGTGCACACTCGACGGACTCACACAAACGATCATGACCGTTTTGCAGTTGCCGCCCAACGAGAATTTGAGAAGTCGTGTTAGTTTGCTGTTCCTGTAAGGGACATGATTCTTCTTTCGGGGATCGCAGAGTGCATTAATGCAGCTGCCCAATGCGAGCAGAGACTTGTTAATATTAGCACCCTCCAACAAACGCTCGCCTCGATTCTTGGTGGCGCTGGCTCGCTCGCTACCTGCGAGGTCGATGATGCTCAGAGTAGCCATCGTATGAGGTTCGTTGACGGCAGCGTTGCGGTCTTTCTGGGCAACATTGATCTGTAGGACTGCGTGGGATCGTGAAGAAGTGGCGTTCGCCTCGGTTGGTGATACTGTTCGATATTCGTTCCCCTGAACGATCATGTCCATAACCTCTTGAACATCCTTGGGGTGATGGCTCGTCAATCCTGAAACTGTTACGGCTTGGTTGGAGTCCTCGCGGAGCATCAATCCTTGCTTGCTACCCCCGGGGACCAGCAAGTCTCGAATAGTTTCGTTGTAGATTTCTAAATACGACAAGGATATATCGGTGTGCTTTTCGTCGCTACGATCGGCAATCTTCTCGAAGAGTTCTTGCATTGTCAAGAATATGATACCGGGCATCTGGGCCGTGCCGGTGATTGTGTGTGTTTTGCCGCATCCTGTGGCTCCGTATGCAAATACTGTGGCATTATAGCCATCTAGAACGCTGTCTAGTAAGTTCTTTGTCGTCGCCTCGTATACTTCTGTTTGTGTTGTGTTCTCGTCGAATATGCGGTCGAAAGCGAAGACTTGATCTTTGACCTTCTTGCCATTTGGTACCACGGATCTCGAGAATTTTTGTATCGGGCTGTCCTCCGGCGGGTCAAACACTCTACAATACGTTCAAGTCAGTTACTATAATGTTGTATCTCTTGTGTGAACACTTACAAGCATCTGTCATCGACTACTTTAATAACGGATCGTATGCCACCTTGCTTGAGTTTCGGTGTGGGAGCCGCAGCCAGAGAACCATCCCCTAGAAATAATGTGCCATCATCATTCTTTTGTCTATACTACTACGTTAGTATGTCTATCTCGGTGATATGGAACCGGAATTGACGTACAGTTGTGCAGCTTCTCTTATGGTAAACGGTCGAACTCGAACTTTTAACACGTCAGCATCATCTAGTTTACTATTTTATACTGCAAGTCCATCTTACCTGCAACCGTGATAGATGATGCTCCTGGGTCTATCACAGCCATTTTGGGTAGTTTTAGTCTGTCCCTTCTCAATTATCCTCCCTTGTAAAAGTGGTCTGAAAATTAAGCCAGAAGTGTCGACATAAACAATGTGAATAAACAGGCAGCATATGTCGTTGCCGTGAGAAAGAAATTAGTACTCGTCACGATTTCGAGATTTCAAATCGATTAACGAGCGTATATACACCTTCTTAATGGGTGTCGTGGAGCTAGATTAGTTAGTAGTAAGAGGATTTCGTTGTGGGAGGTCCACGCGAAAAATATCGTCATCAGGAGCTAAAATGTGGATGGAAATTGTTGCAGATGGTTAATAGGTAATATGTGTTGAACCCATGTTGATTTTTGGCTCTAAAAGTTCACCAGGGCAACCGGTATCCGCCTTGTTTGTACTATGTAGTGAGTTTGTAGTGTGTGCAAGCGTGGCAGCCCTAACCATAAAATAAGTGGGGCCTAAAAACAGACTTCTGGCATATGATTCGTAAGGTTTAGCCTAGCTGGACCTACGCACCCCGGACTTTTGTTTCAGTAAGCTCTAAGCCAATTAAAATTGATCTTACTAGCATAAAGTCAACATTAAAAAAAAAGGTATCCACTGACAACTCAGCTGAATTGAAAATAGGGAAGGGGATTGCATGATCGAATATAGAACCCTAGTAAAGTTGAGGCTTGCAAAAGTTATGAGCTAGGAAGAATTTAGATAAGCGTTGAGAAATCTAATTTACAAAAGCTTTTAACCTTACAAGCAAACAAAAAAGTATCAGCCCCTTAAACTCCAGTCATTGGGAACGTGTTGCACTGATAAATGAAAGTCTATCACATAGCCTTCATTTACTATAATATTCAGTCTTAATACATAGGTAGAAATC